AGAGAGAGAGAGAGAGAGAGAGAGAATTCCAGAAGTACTTAATCCATGCAAATCAAATTCCTCACCAATCACCAAGATTTAATACTTTTGAGTCGAATGAAAACCACAAAATAGCCTTTTTCCTCCACGAAAACTTCACAACTACTTAATTCCATGCAGACATTTCAGTATATTCATATACAAGTGTTTAATGTTGATAAAAGAAACCAAAATCCAATGTAAGAAACAATAGCACAAGTACAAGAAATGACTCAAATATGTCCCCATAAACAAGGTGATTGAAAAAACAAAATAAGTCATAATTCAAGTCGACTATGCATGAGATGTTATAGGAATTTCCGCACCTGGTCTTGGAAAACCTGGAGGATACTCATTGATACCCAAGAATCCATCTCCAAATTCATATGCTAGATCACAAGGCTGCTCTGTTGACATCACTTCATTATGTTGTCTCACCGCAAAATACAGTGGATAACGGGAACTTGCAAATTCAGCAATAACTGATCTACCTGACATGTTTCAAGTGTTTGTTACAAAAACCAATGATTACCCATAAATTAAGTCATAAGCAAATAAAGTGTAAAATGCAGAAGAAAAATCATTTAGCATAAGAACAATCAAAAGGAGTAAAAAAAGACATGACAATGAGTACATGCGCACGACAGCATTTTTTTTTTCTCGATTAAAATATGTATGTACTGGGGCAAAAGTTGAAAAATCATAAAACAACAACTTGGAACAAATTGTTTAACCAGTTCCATCAGCTAGCATTTATGCTCTACATGATCTATTCAGCTACTACAACATTACAAAAATGGAACTCCACTAAGGGAAAATGAAAGCTAGAAGAAAGTATGCCCATTTTATGTATGAGTAAATGAAAGTCCGATTGAAAGTGCTAGAAGACCTATTTAGCTGCCATGGACATCACTATTTGATCCACATCATGGATCAATCCAATAATATCAACACTAAAAAAGCAGCTAAATTCTAGCAGTTTAGTATAGACTGTTGTAAAGATTTTTTGAGTCTTGGGCAGTAGAGCAAAATATATATTTGAAGTAAAAAAAAATACCAATGAGTCGTCCATATGTCATCCCATCCTTGACATGAAATATAGCTTGACATATACGAGAATAAAAAGAAACAATGACCCTAAGTTCGTTGCTCAATGATTAGAAAGAAGAGAAGAAGAAAAAAAAAGAAAAAGAAAACTCAAATGAATGAAAAGATAGTAACTATGGCTCAAAAAAGGTCCTTATGAGAGAGAGAGAGAGAGAGACAGAGAGAGAGAGAGTTCACCTTCTTGAAGAAATTTATCCAAGCAATAGGAATTGGCCCTAGTTTACAAATATTCAAATGTCACAAAATTTCAAGAAGTTCTAAGATGTTAATCATAACAAAGATATTAAAGAAAGAACTACAAAATACTTCTAGTAATCTCAAATTTAAATCAGTCAATCCATCAATCAATGTATAGGTGAATGGGAACTACTAAGATACAGGATATGAATCAGATGATGCATACAACGTGAAGAAAGTGATCAACAACATGAAGCATGCATATCAAACACTAATTTGAGATAAGAATAAGTAATTCTTATTTGAGGGCAATAACATAGTATAGGTCAACCCATGCCTTAATTTTATTCTTTGTTCCATCCACTTATCAAAGATTTTTGTATCATATCCTTTGGAGTTTACAAATCTGCTTTTATTACATTAACAAATTGGGGTATGCCCTTTGTTCAGTGTGGGTGAGTTCAAATGGAAGGTGGTAAAACTTGTGAAATGGCATGCAGGAGTTTTGGAGCAGGCTAAGTGAGAGACAAGGTAGCCTAAGAGAAAGAGAGGCATAGAATGATTTAGAGCTCTGTTCTTGTTTGTGATGGGGGAGCAATGTGATGGCGTCTACACAATCTTAAGAGATCATTAGGATCCAATGTGCTCCCCTTGGTGAAAACATGCCTTGCAACCCAAATGATCAAAATTTCAAGAATAAGATGGATAAATCTCCCCCTTGCTTATGAAAGCTGCAAGGGGGTGAAGTACCTCACAGAACCTAGCTGTAGCCACAAAGGACTATCCCAGTGTTACTTAGTAATTGACTCCCAAAGGACAATCAAGAAGTGCCTCATCAGGAGGACTCTCATTAGGTGATTTTGACCCACACAAACACCAAGTGCATTTGGTCTCGATCTTAGTGTTGTAGTGCTGTTGTCCTAAAAGGGGTATTGAGATGTCTTTTAGCTCGGGTGTCCATGTGCCTCATATCGTGTGCCAGCTATCTCCCAAGCTCGTGATATAAGCCTGCATCAATGAAGAAAAAGTAAATAAATGAATAATTGGCAATGCTAACACCACTCTTCAGTATCAAACCACAGATGCTCATGTTGGAGACAAGTCCAAGAACTTTAAACCCATTTACCGAACATTTGCATTAAACAAACGTATCACAGAACAATTCCCTACTTCACTAGAAGTTCCACAGATCAGTTCCTATTCTTTCTTATTTTGGCCATGTACCATGTTACATTGATATTATAAAAGAAGCTGATTTTGCATTTCCTAAAAGCGCAGTTCATAGTTTCAAATCACTAAAACTTAGAAGTAAATGAATAATTGGCAATGCTACAACTCCCAAACGAGAAGCCAAGGGTGTATACCCGTCAACCAGTTGGTTCAACTCATTAGGCACAATATGTAAAATGCCACCACTTGGGTTCCAATCAATACCATGCATGAGTGTTGGGCTTCTCGAACTATGACCTACTCATCCAAATATCAATATCAAGTTAGAAGATACTAGAAAGAATGATAAAAATTGATAAGATACTTGGGTTCCAGTCACAAAATTGCCAAGGAAATTAATGTAATTGTCAACAAAACATCACATCATCGATAAATTATTCATTGTCGTCGCGAGAGGGTGACATTCAAGTGGCTCTGTCCATGTCAGTAAAGGTGTATTGGAGGTCTTAAATTAGAGTTTTTCATCATAATTATTCACAAAGCAGAACTTCATGTTCTTTAGAGAGCCATAATAACCTTCAATAAATTTTTCTAGGAAACTAATACAAGAATAGAGGGATCAAGAGCAAGGCAATAAAATCACAAATGTGTTCTACAACTATTTCATAACAAAAATTGGGCAGTCAATGAAGGAAACATTTACATACAATGATCATCCATAGCAATATTGATCTCCTAATGTGTTCTATATACTGCTCTGCTCAACATTCACTGCTATATTTAATCACTCTGTTTTTGTTTTGTTTTCCCTTTTTTGTTTTCTGTTTTCACTCTGCTTTGATCAAGTGTCCCAAATCAGTCCCAAATCATTGCAACAGCAATCACCCCAATGCCCAACATGACAGTTTCAAGCATCATAGATTTTTGTATCATCTGCTGGCAGTGTAAATGACAGTTTCAAGCATATGACTGGTTCTGAAGCATCTGACTTAGAATCAACTGCAACTTCTACCATCAAGAGGGCCTAGAATTGAGGTATAGTTTCTTGTTTGATATTTTCTTTAGTAACAATTGAGTTCTTTTCCTAGCCAATGACATCTATAGAAAAACTGTGCTGAACCCATCAGCAAATCAGTTTGGCATATTCTTTATATGTTTCACCCTGATAAGTTGCATACTCTTCATCATGACCACATGATTAAGCATACGTAAAACTTTTCACCAGGGGTTACAGTTTTAGGATCAGCAGTCATTTAGAAATTTTACCATCCAGTAATGGTCCTCTTGCTTTAATACACCTATGGGCAAAATTATAGGGCCGAAGGTGAATGCTTAGACTGCTTAGGCTGTAACTTGACTTCACAACACCATAAAAACTAAAAAGCAATGGGATACATAGTCAGGTTAAAGAATAACAATGATCCAAATCTGTATTTCTTGGTGATTTGGGACAGCAACACCAAAAGCTCAAAAATGCAATACCATTAAAACTTGAATAATAAAAGTTTTCACACTACTATAGGATAGCTAGGTTAGATTCTAGTTAAAGAGGAAGAAGAAGAAATAGAAAAAGAGAAGACAACTTGTAGAGATGCATAAGATATTAACTTAATTATAGTACCTAGAGTTGAACACGATGTAAAAAACAAAGTGGGAAAGACAGCTAGAGAACACAACTTTTTTTTTTTTTTGATAAATTAGAGAACACAACTATTTGCTCATCTACGCCGTCTAGATCTCCATATAATGGCAACAAAATATCTTCTAATGCATAAAAAAATTATAAAAGGCTGAATAAATCAACTAATAGACTTCTGGATTTGGAAGTAATGCACTTCAACAGGCATCAGCAGGTCACAAGTGGAAAGTTTCCCCCAAAACAGCAACTTTTTCCTTTGCAAATAAACAAGCAGTTAAACTAGATAAAAACAAGAATTTACTTTTCATGTGTTTTGGTTTTGTTATTTCACTAGACTTGCATGAAAGATATAGTTTTGAGGAGCAATTATCTTTGGCTTCCACCTCCTCCTTGGAAAGCTATTGCAAGGATTCACTATTTATTGAAGTGAAAATTTAGATTAATTTGTTACCAAAGCAGTTAGTTTAGCTAGGGACACTTGGGGTGGGTAGCTATGAACCAAGATTTTGGATACTCCACTTTCAGACTGGATGATGAATAAGTTGTACTTTATATGAAAAATATGGGTCCTGTTTAATTTGCATATTAAAGCTTTCCTTAATATTTGGGAACAAAACTAGTTAATCAACTTCATTATTTCAAAAAAACATATTTCTTTGTCAATTAATACTGCTGAACAAATTATACACAAAAAATGCTGAGGAATTTGTACCTGGGTCACAATTGTCCACTGCAAGATCTTTTCTCTCTCTTACTTTTCCAAAAAGCCCTTTTCAGAGCTTCTCAGCCAGACAGAACAGATCAGTTGTGGCCTTGATCAGCAAGACAGAGCAGTGTATGTATCACTATTAAAAGGAGTATTGATTTAATGATGAAATAATTAACATACATATTTAGAGTACACCGGCTAGTAAGATCAAACATAAACAAAATTGCTACTGCATCTTTGCAAGCAATAGGAATTTGATTAAGCGACCTATTGTCTCCTACATCCAAATTAAAATTACAAACAAACAAACATTTTAAGTAACTAGAATCCACTAAGACTTCGGCAATTACAAACATTTTAAGTAAATAGAATCCAAATTTTTTAAACTAAAGAACGAAAAAATTACAGAGAAAGTATAACAGATTAGCAGATTTGACAATGAGAAAGTAGAGAATGAAAAATATACCTGATATAAGAGCAAGAGAGATCAGCTAGAACAGATCGATTTTGGATTTTGGATTTTGGATCTGCGATTTGACGAAGAACAGAACAGATCGATTTGATAAAGAATAGATCGAGTTCGAGTTCAATGAAGAACAACTCGAGCGACAGAGATCGATGAAGCATAGCTAGAGAGTTCGATTGCGAGCGACATAGATCGATGAAACGCAAACCATCGAGCGTTTTGGATCTGCAATCGAGCAAATCGAGGGTTGAGAATGAGAAATTGAGCGAGCGAGCGAGAGAGTGTGTGTTTGAAACTGAGCGAGAGAGAGGGAGAGCTTCAAATCGAGGGTTTTGGAAGAGAGCGAAACTGAGTTGTGGTAGAGACTGAGAAAGAGAGACTGAGTTCAAAGAGACGGAGGTTTTGACGGTCAATACATTGACCCAATACGGCGCCATTCACTGAGATCAGACACAACGTGTTTCGAAAACGTTGTGTTTCGTTAATTTATAGTGGCGTTTCCCTAAACGCCACAAAAAAACGTTGCTGTAGACCATTTTTCCTGTAGTGAAAGGTCACCGGTTGAAGAGGTTGTCAATATTCCTAATCAAATTATTCAGTGGCTGAGATTAATTTATAAAAATCTAATGGTTTAAAATAGATGTGTATGTGATGTGCACATCTTATTGAGGTGCACATCTTAACAGCTCCCTTATTAGTAATGGAATAGGGGTTAGATTATTAATCTAATAGATATTAATCTAATTAGATAGTGAATACCACACTAATAGAATTATTAATATCTCACTATTAATTTTGTGAATCAACATGGACTAGGGATTCGAAGTGTAATTTGCCCCCTCCGAAATTGAAGGATACCCTAATAGTCAATCCGGAGTCATTTCCGGGTCCAAATTTAGGGTCCGACCATATCTGAACCCCCCCCCCCTCTCTTTCTCTCTCTATCTCTCCCTCCTCTTGCTTTTGTTACTCTTCAAGATCACAAGCTCTTTGCCGATTCCAGATCAGTTTTTCCAAAGGTATATCTCTCTCTCTCTAACTCAATTCCTCACTATTTTCTCACTTCGAATTTGAAAATCGTAGCTTTATCTTCTGTAATAATAGTTACTTTAAATATCTTTTTAGTGATTTGCTCAATTCGATTTTTGATCATGTTAACTTTGATCTCTACTTGTTTTGAATTTCTCTATTTACTGTATATGCAATTCGGTTGTTGTTATTATGGGGGTGATGCGAAGTTGGGTTTAAGTTTAGGTTTTTGTGTCTTCTTGATTTGATGTAAGTCCATTTCTGGTTTGACCTAAAAGAGTGAGAAGGAAAAAGGAGATTTTGATTTTGAAACACTGGGTATGCTAGTTGTCTGTCCAACATGCTTCATGAGTGTTGAATATGCTCTATACAATGTCAATAGGATTCGTTTTCAGTAATGCCATGTTTGGATTTTGGATTTGTTTAGGGAAAATATTAAAGGAAAGTGTTAATGACTGCCCAAAGGGTTGTCATTAACCTTGGCGGGCATGTGAAAAGTGTATAGAGATATGTTAAAATATGCTTTGGGATGTTAAAAAAAAGGGTGGTGTTGCATTTTTTCCACTACTGTATTGTACATATGCACTTGTTTTTTTTTTTTTTGGTCTAGGGTTTTGATTATGTTAAAATTACAATAAAATCCTTGCAATAGTGTAATCGAGTAGTTATTAGTTAGGCTTTGATCTGGACATTCCGGTGTCAATCAAAAAAAAAAAAACATAGTAATTGAGTATTCTAAAACAAAAAGATTTATTGTATGTACAATATAATAAAGACGAAAAAATGGTATAATAAAGACGAAATAGCTCCATCTTTTAAAATACACTCAGATTCCAAAGAAAAAAATTTAGCTTATTTTCACTTCTTTTTTTCTTTTTTCATTCCTCCTCAAATTCAAGATCCAAATATAGCAAAAATGTATGGCTTGTTTAGATCTTCATTTGGAGTAATTGAGCAAATAAACACTGTAGTACCTATTGTCTATTGATTATAGTTGCGTTTGGATTTATTTATGTTGATCGTTTATAATATTGACTACTTGGATGTGATGAAGTTATCTGTTCTGATAGAAAGGAAATCTATGGTATTGGAGATGCATTGCTCAATGAAGACCATTATTAATAATGTGACTAATCAATCCAATAGGCATTTAATTTTAATTATATGTCGATAATCTGGTCTGAATTAGAATAAGTGCCCAAATGCAAAATGACATCATTGTGTAAATTCATTAGAATCTCTTGCGTACACTCTATTCACTAATGAAGGTTATGCAAAGGAATACTACAGCCCGGTTGACATCTTGCTGCATCTATTAACAAAGGATCTTATCTTGATTGTCGTGCTATTTTAAAGGTTTTAGGTACGGAATTTGTTTATTTGAAATGTTTTATGGATGTAATGGAAGTAAGCTTTCACGTTATTAAGTACCTTGTATTTGTAGAAGTGCAGCAAGAATCTATTTAAAAACTTATGGCGGTTTAGCAAGGATGAGAATTTTTTTTTCTTTCATTGTGTATCACATTAAAGTGAAATACAGTGAAACAGATGATTGAACTAAAACTTAGTTGATGTCCTTGACCAAATTTGTTCCTCTATATAGAACTCCCAACATTTGATACTCTTAGCAACTGCCAGGATAAACCAGGATCATTTCTCTCCTTTTTAGCTATTGTTATTATTGTTTCTTCTCATGTATATATTTTGCTAGTCCAAAAGACACTGAAATGTTATTGCTGTTCAAGTAGTGGAGTAAATATCGAGTGAAAGTCAATGGATCGAGGAAAGAGGCCAAATAAGCTCGTGGGCAGCAGGAACAGTAAGATTTACATGGACCTTAGGGATATAATAAGGGAGCACACTCTTCCTTTCCTTCCTGCAAAATCACTTTTCAGGTTCCAAGGTGTTTGTAGGGACTGGAAGCTCCAGATTTCAACTCCTTTCTTTGCCCACAACCAGTCACTTACCTTCCAGGCTATCTCAGGCCTCTTCTGCCAGTCCTCTGGGGGAGACCCACCATCATTTATCTCCATCGACCCTCAATCTTGTGGTGTTCCGGATCCGTCTCTGAAATTTTTGCCCGAGCCCATTGACATTAGGGCGTCTTCCAATGGACTAATTTGCTGCCAAGGTCAGACTGGGGATAAACCCTACTACATCTGCAATCCTGTTACCAGGCAGTTGAAGAAACTTCCTAAAACAAATGCTGATCATGGGCTCGATCCTGCTGTTGTACTTGTCTTTGAACCATCATTGCTCAACTTTGTGGCTGATTACAAGCTGGTGTGTGCTTTCCCATCTGTCGACTTTGATAATGCGACTGAATTTGAGATCTATTCATCCACTGATGGATCTTGGAAAATTTCTGGAGAGACTTGCTTTGCCAGCAAGAAGCTTGTGCCTAGATCAGGCATTTACGTGGATGGTGTTGTTTATTGGCAGGCGAAGCATCATGGGATTGTTGCATTTGATCTCACGAAAGACAGGTCACAACTCATCCAAGGGTATCATGGCATCAACGCAACTTTGGGGACGATGAATGGAAAGCTTTGTTCAGCTTATGCGAATGGCCGCTCAGTATTGGTGAATGTGTTGTCTAACGTGTACTCAAACACGATGCAAATGCACAGCAACACGAGGACGTGGGAAGAGAAAACCCGTTTCTATTTAGACAATTCTGCGCTTGGTGGAATTGCTAATGAGCAGGGAATGGTCCTCTTTGCAGGCTGCAATGTGATATTGGTTCAGTTCGGGAGGTCAATCCTTTGTTACGACATGAAGAGTAAAGAAACTAAAGTCCTATGCAATGTGCCTGAATACGATATCAGGTGCATATCTTATGTGAATAGCCTCGTCTACATCTAAATATATGCTTCTGTTTGTTCATCACTTGTTTCAGAAGTTCATCTAATCTCCATGATGGCCCTTTAAATTCTCAAGCTGGTGAGGGGTTTAATGGCCACTAGGAAATTTGAGATGTGCTTTAATTTATGAAGAACATGTATTGTGGAACCTTAATTTATTAGATTCATACAATTGCACGTGTTAATATTATATTTAATACCGTTGTTTTTCAGTTATTTTATTTTGTTTTATTTATAGGCCTTTTAATGTCATATAAAAAAATTGTTAAATCCACGGATTGCTTATAAGAAATCATGCATTTTATCATTACTTTGGTTTGCCTTTTGTCTGATTCTACATTCTTATTGACTAGATTGTGCGTAATCTCCAACCCGTTTTTCACATTCAAAAACCTAGGATTTTGTATTCACCCAAACAAAAGAAAAGAAAGGGAGGAGTAGAAGCAGCTGCTAGGACTTTTTTTTTTTTTTGGTTAATTATTTTAGCGATATTGATTGAACTATGCCTCTTAGCTTGTCTCTCTCATCAATTCTTGTATGGGTTACTCATATTGCGGGTCGGCCCATCTATAAGCCCTTTCTGTTCGACTTCCTAACGAGTAAGAGTCCCTATGTCAAGAATTCTCACTAACTACCCTCCTAGCTTTTATTCAGGTAAAAAAAAAAGAAGGGGGGAGAGTTTTTTCTTTGATTCTTTAATAGTTTAGTTCCAAAATTCAATTGGGTGTGCTTTTGTTAGCTTGTTTTGTCCCATTTTTCTCTTTTTCTTTTGTCCACTAACTCAATGACTTGTTAAATCTATGCTGAACTTCAATATTTGTTGCTTTGGAATCACTTAAACATCTGTCTATTTGGATGGAGTGATATGGTGTGAAATGATAAGAAAAGAAAAAAAAAGAGATTTTTTTTTTTTTTCTTCTTCTATATTGGGTTTATATGTTATTTGAGAAATGATTTGGTGAAAATGTTAAGAAAAGAAGAGAAAGAGAGCTCTTTTTTTATATTTGATTTGTAAATCAGGTGATAAACGATTAATTATCTTAATTTATTTGTTTTATTTCTCACAAGAAAGAGAGCTCTTTTTTTATATTTGATTTGTAAATCAGGTGATAAACGATTAATTATCTTAATTTATTTGTTTTATTTCTCACAACAGTGTAAGATTTGGTGAAAAACTAAAAATATCGGTTATGTATTTTTTCAAAACATTGAAATTGCCAATCCTACCACCACCAGCGATTTGTTTGATTTGTATCTAATTCAATTCAACTCACTGAAACTCATTTATTAAATGAATTTAAATTGAATTGTTTTGATACATAACTTGTTTGACTCGCCTAAACTCAACGACAAACATTCATAGGTAAGTAAGGCTATATTGAATCCACCATTATTGAATAAACTCTAGATAATCTTTATTGTTTCCAAATTATTTATAAATTATGTGTACCAATTAAGATTAGGCATAACATTAAAAGGAAGAGCTATGATGGAGACCCCCTCAAAACTCCCACCCCCACCACCCCCCACGCACACGTGGGGGTTGGGGATTAGGAGAGAAGAAAAAAAACAGAAAAAAAAAAAAATAGACCAATCAAAAGCACAGGGGGTCAAAAGGTGTGGGGGTAAAGAGGGTCTTAAACATTTTTGTAAAAAGAATTAGACCGAAAACATTTGAGTTTATGATGATAGAAAATAGTAGTTTACAGCGTTTGGTCATTCCTGTTTGGGATAAATTAAAAAAATTAATTGTTTTGACCAAATAAGCTAAAAGTAAATTTTCATTTGGTAAGAGTTAAAAAAGTAATTAAAAAAGTTGATAAAATTAACTTTTCTATTAATGAAGAGGTAACCTTTTTAATAATTTCTAAATACATCAATTTAAAAATAAAAAATAATAAGGTCAAAAAGTGCTCCCCCCTCCCCCAAAAAAAAAAAAATGTTAAACCTCCAAATAAATTAAAAATAGGATCCACATGTCTTTCAACACATTATAATGTGTTGACGCCTATAAGTTAACAACAAATAATTGTTTGTTCAAAATTATTAAAAAAAGAATTGGGAAATCGACTCTCAAATCACCATTTGATGTATTAGTTGAAAGATGGTAACTAAATTTTATCCCATGAAATCGACTCTCAAATCACCATTTGATGTATTAGTTGAAAGATGGTAACTAAATTTTATCCCATAATAATTTTATAAAAAAATCATAGAACTTGGGATTGGGCCCTAATGGGTTCCTAAATTTTTATGAAAAAGAGAGGAGCTAGATATACAAACCATTAACATATAATTTGTTTGTCACATAGCACAAAAGATATCTTTTTTCCAACATAGGATTCCTCTCAAGTAAAGCACTTCACCACTAATTTGATTTTTGAAATATGCAAATTGTAAAGTAGGTTTTGAGGGGTGAAATGGTCTTCAACCTTCATGTCTTTAGGGTACATCGATTGCCTTTTCTTGACCAACCTGGTGACTCTATGGTGGGAGTCCTTTTCACTTGTTAATCAAGGCTTCGTTTTGCTATTTCAATTGGGATTAAAAAAGTATAAAAAAATAAAATAAGTTAAATAAGTTCATAAGATAAAATGTCACATCTAAATCGTAAGCATTTCACTTTTTCTCTTACAAAAGTCAAAAAAAAAAAGTTTTTGCCAAATAAGTTTTTTAATTCCAAGCTAAAAAGGTGCTAACTCTAAAAAGGTAATTAATTTTTCTTTTGCCAAACAGTGACTAAAATTTTAGTGGGCTTGAGTACGAGTTTATAAAACGGGGGTTGAAAATAAATTTTTTGTATTTATAATCTTGGAATTATTAGTAACATAAGGAATTCACAAATACTCCTAATTTCATTTTAAGAGAATGTTTGTGAATTCTTGGCCCTACATTGTTGGGCTTGTCTAGATCCCTCTTGTCCAACTTTTCAACAGATAAGACAAAAAATTTTATCAAATGTCTCACATGGGTATGAGACTAAAGCTACAAATTTTAAAAATTCTTTCAAAATTTCTATCAAATGTCTAATATAAGTGCGAGACCCACATGAATCCCACACATTTGATAGAAATTCTAATAAAACTTTTAAAATCTCTAACATTTTTGTTTTATCTCACAACAATTCTCACGCACTGGTTACAATTTCTACTCCAGCTTAAAACTATCAAAGTCTACGCTCTAGGCAACCGATTATGAAAGGCCCCATACTCAACTCTCTGCACAAGGTGTAAAAAAAATGAATTCCTATATAATTTCAAAATTTTCAAAGTAAAAAAGGTTTTTGTCTAGAGATTCAAGCGAAAAATATTTAATTTCAAAAAACAAAAGCTAAAAGTACTCTTTCAGTTATCCAAAGGCCTTTAAACAACAAAGACCCATCTACGAAACTCTTATTTGACTAAAGGGCTGATAGTAAAGATTTATAAATAAATTTCTAAAAATTTTATTTACTAATAAAAAACTGAATTTTACATGCAAAAATAAAATAAAAAAGCTAATAAATATTATTTCAATATAAAAGGAGCAGCCAATGATCTTTTATTCTCAAATTCTTCTATTGAATATGTCCCAATGTATTTTTAACCATTAAATCATATAAAAATATTAAAACACGTGAATCTTGATATATGATCAAATGAATGAGAGTGTATTATGATAGGAGAATAAAAATTTTGAAGTCAAAAAATCTCATATTCATAAATAATAATAAAAAAATTGTATTGAAATTTTACTTTAAACCTCATTAAGATTTGGAATCCATTTACTTAAGATCAGTTTGAGAAATGACTTTTTGATTTTTTGTTAAAATATGAAGTGAAAAAAATCAATATAGTTAGAAATAACTTTTAATTTTTTACAAAAACCTGCAAAAAGTTGTGTGAATTGGACGAAATTTTTGACCTTGTAGAGTGAATAAAAGGATCTTTGATTTTTTTTCATTTGAGTTGAAATTTTTTGACTTCTAACTTTTTTATGGTTATTACGGGAATTGATTTTTTGAGTAATTTTTAATTTTTTACGAAAAGAGGTATAAAATAGTAAAAAAAAAAGAGGATATTTTTGAAATAATTTTTTAACTTTTTAATTAAAATTTTGAGTTGTCATGGCTTAAGTGTCATTTTAAAGCTAAATTAATTATAAAAAGACAAAATATATTAAAAAGTTAATAAAATAAAATGTCACATTTAAATTATAATCATTTTACTTTTCTTTCACAAAAGTAAAAAAAAAATCAATCCAAACAAATATTTCAACTCTAAATTAAAATAATCAAAAAAATCAACCAACCCACTTCCCAAACTTTTTTAGAAAATAGCCATTTTTACCTTGGAAAAATATTTTTTCCACCCATTCTTTCATAGAGTTTAGTGTCCTCTGTCTGAGGAGATGCACATACCCTTCCACAAGATTGGATTTTAAAAAGTCATCATTCACAAAGAGAGGTTATTTGGTAATTTTGGAATAATGTTTTAACTTGTGAGGTGTGTTTTGCTATTTCTTAAAAGAATAAAGTTATACAAATAAATTGATATATCAATTATTGTATTAATAAATAATGTGATATAATTTTATTAATTTTAAATTTTTATAATTTGTATAATAAATGATCCATAATTTTAAAGTCACAATCTTATAACATGTGTTAAAAACTAATAATATAAAAGTGATGGCCTCCACAATTTTAATATTTGTCCTAAAACCATTAAATGATTAACAAAAAATTTACAATTTCTTAAAACAAATTCTCTAATTTTACAATCTCACAACATATTGTGGCCCTGTTTGGTAAGTATCTGCAAGGAAGTGTTGCCGCAATATATTTACAATCTATATATTGAAGATGATATTTTAATCATAGAAGTAAAAGTTAATTGTCTTAAATATATAATTTTTTTAATAAATATTTAATAATTGTTTTGGCAATAATCAACCCCAAAATCTTCATTTGGGATTGATTAGGGTTTAAGGTTTGTGCTAAAAATACTATTTTATTTACAAAGATAAAATCCAACTCTCTTAAAAATACAAGTTTGTGTCTAATTATATTGCCCAATATAAATTAAAACCGAAAAAACATATAAATAAATTTAATTGTGTGAATAGTTAGATTTAGTGCTCGTTTGGTAATCATCTTTGGGTAAAAAATTACAAAAGGAAAAAAAAAATCAAAAAAATCACAAGAGGACAAAAATCACAAAAGGACAAAAAAAATT